GTTTTTCCTCTTCGTCTGCACCCCCGGCGGGCAACCAACCTACTACAACAATAGGCGCTGGGTCGACAACAACTCTCTCAAGATCATCAGCCACACGGCCGTCCCTGTGATCAAGCTCACTACGCAAGGCTACGTGCCGGGGTTCACGTCTCCGGCAGGGGTTTCCAGCGGTGGAGGCGGCGGGCGTAGGAGTCCCGTCGTCGAAACCGTCCCACCTATCCTCGAGACATCGCGGGAGAGCAACCCACCGGCGCCGGCGCATGTTCTTGGCCAGCAATCGGCGGCGACCGTGCAACATGGGCCGGGTTCTTCCGTTGCGGCGGTTGCTGCTGCTACTGGACCGGGGGGAGCTGCGGCTGGAGATGATGGCGGAGGGGGGGACGCCCGTCCTCCTCCCGCCGTTGATTCTGTTCCGGGCGGGGATGATGACAGGGCAGTTGTCGCGGGTTCCGATGCCGACGTGCCTGCGGAGGGCGCGGAAGGGTCGCATAGGCAGCAGCAGGAACAGCAGCAGCAGCAGCAGCAGCAGCAGAAGCAGAGGACATCGTCTGCCTCTACCGCGAAAGCTGCGGCAGGGAGCGCTACTGGTGTTGCTGCTCCGCCGGCACCGTCTGCCGCGGTTGTTGACGGCAGCGATGCTGCTCGTCCCGCTGCTGCTGCTGCTGCTGCTGCTGCTCTTGACACCGACGGGCCTGGTGCTGGCGCTAGCGGTGTACAAGCGACAACAACAGCAACGACGGCGTCGCCGCACGGGACCGCCCCCACACAGCAGCAGCAGCAGCAGCAGCAAACACCGACCAACGGGAAGCCGTCGGGCACCACGTCACCGCCAGATACCGCCACAGCGGGGGCGTCCGGGGGGGCAACTGGAGGCGAGAAAGACGTCGCCGATGGCGCCGACGACGGTGTTAAGGTTGTTGGCGGCGGGAGTGGAGTTGATGCGGTGGGATTGCCGCGCGTGATGGTGGATGTTAGCTTCGAGGGGCAGGGGCACAACGGGCAGGCGGCGAACCAGCTGGTGAAGGACCTGGTGGATGGTTTCCCGGCGCTGCGGCCGCTGGCGCTCTTGCTCAAACAGGTGTGTGCGTGTTTTGTCTTTCGTAATTACTGCGAAAGGCGGAGAGATAGCACCCCCCGTAGACCGACTCTCATCAAAGCTTGCTTCCCTCACCACCAAGGGGGGTGAGGAAACACCCTGATTCATGAACAGAAAGCCCTCAACGAGATGTTTGCGCAGCCACCATTTTTTTGTGTTGGCACGATCTTGGCGGTGGAGCAATCGAGCTTTGAAAGTCGGTCTAGGGGGGGATGCCATCTCTCCGCCTCGTACGGAATACCACGGTACGGTATACGGTACGGTATACGGTACGGTACAGACAATCTTGGTCGTGGAGAAATCGAGTCTTGAACATCGGTCTAGGGTGTGTGTGTCATTTCTTCGCCTCTTATGGTAGCATCGACAGCGCTAGCCGGCTGACCAATGAAAAGAGGTCAGTCTGTCTTGTAGCGGAATGAAGAACGCGAACACTTTCAAATCAAAGAATAAGTGTGGATGTGTTTTTTTTTCTTGTTATATATACCGTGTGTAGGGATGGTAAATTCAGTTGACTACTTTGCTCACTATGTCATATGTTTGATTCGGTACTGCTGCTGTAGATGCAGTGCGACACTCTAGCGGATACAACTAGGAGTTGTGGGTCGGCCACCCTCTTGAGCACGGCAGAATAGTATTGTAGTAGCGTGGCATTGGCTCGATTGGTACGGACATACATGTCTCGTCAACTCCTTTTGATAGTTTTAGTTTGTTTCAACTCACCAACTGCCCCGTCACCGTGACCGCCCCCCCCCCCCCCCCCCCCCCCCCNAAAGTTCATGATGGAGAAAGGCCTGTCTGTCAGCTACACCGGAGGGCTATCGTCGTACGCGCTTACCCTCATGGTCGCAAGGTGCACGGGGTGTTCGGGGGGATACATACGTAAAACGATCACGCGCCTTCGCGCCGCCGCAGCAGGACGTACAGACAGAGCAATCCTACGTAGCGGCCGCTTTTGTGTCAGATCAAGACTTGGTGGCGACAAACGTCTCGCCAGTGGTGGCGTGGTCGTCTCAGCCTGCTGGTGTTGTTTGATCTTTTGAGTAAAAGGCGTTTTCCTCTCGTTGCGGTACAGCAGTAGTGGGCCCTGTGTTGTGCCGGTTGAATAGTGCCACAGTCCGGTGCAGTGCCGTT